CAGGTATAGTCCCCTGTCCCACATCCCCCTTTGTCCATCATTATAGACCCCCCTCTCTTAGTACAGAGCCCCCTCCACTTGTGCTAGTAGAGAGGTGGTGGTGGCGGTGGGGGGGGTCGGATATGTGCTGGGCGGGGCGCTGTGGGATTGGAGAGGCCTTGTGTTCTTGTGTGGGGTCGGATTTAAAATCCAAAACCAACTTCTAGCATAGATCCTCTCCCAAAGTGCCCCCCCCCCCCAGCACATATCCTCTTAATCCCGCCATCGCTTTTTTTTTTTTTTTTTTTATAAACTTTCCCCACCTTCCCGGTCACTCTGTCCCCTCCCCCTCCTCTGCCCAGGAACAAAATAAGAAAGTCGGTACAGAGCTCAGATCAGCACAGCTCTGTAAGGAGCTATCCTTACTGACTAAATGGATTATACAGTGAGGAACAGAAGTATTTGAACACCCTGCGATTTTGCAAGTTATCCAACTTAGAAATCATGGAGGGGTCTGAAATTCACATTGTAGGTGCATTCCCACTCTGAGAGACAGAATTAAAAAAAAAAAAAAATCAGGAAATCACATTGTATGATTTTTAAAGAATTTGTCTTGCACTGCTGAACATAAGTATTTGAACACCTGAGAAATCAGTGTTAATATTTGGTACAGAAGCCTTTGTTTGCAATTACAGAGGTCAAACGTTTCCTGTAGTTCTTGACCAGGTTTGCGCTGCAACAGGGATTTTGGCCCACTCCTCCACACAGATCTCCTCTAGATCTGTCAGGTTTCGGAGCGGTCGCTGAGCAACACGGAGTTTCAGCTCCCTCCAAAGATGTTCTATTGGATTTAGGTCTGGAGACTGGCTAGGCCACTCCAGAACCTTGATATGCTTCTTACGGAGCCACTCCTTTGGTTATCCTGGCTGTGTGTTTCGGGTCGTTGTCATGTTGGAAGACCCAGCCATGACCCATCTTCAATGCTCTGACTGAGGGAAGAAGGTTGCTGCTCAAAATCTCACAATAAATGGCCCCATTCATCCTCTCCTTAATACAGTGCAGTCGTCCTGTCCCCTTCGCAGAAAAGCACCCCCCAAAGCATGATGTTACCACCCCCATGCTTCACAGTAGGGATGGTGTTCTCTTGGGATGCAACTCATCCTTCTTATTCCTCCAAACACGACGAGTGAAGTTTAGACCAAAAAGTTCTACTTTGGTCTCATCTGACCACATGACTTTCTCCCATCCCTCCTCTGGATCATCCAGATGGTCACTGGCAAACTTCAGACGGGCCTGGACATGTGATGACTTGAGCAGGGGAACCTTCCGTGCAATGCATAATTTGAAACCATGACGGCGTAGTGTTCTACCGACAGTGACCTTTGAAACTGTGGTCCCAGCTCTCTTCATGTCATTGACCAGCTCCTCCCTTGTAGTTCTGGGCTGATTCCTCACCATTCTTATCAGTGATACCCCACGAGGTGAGATCTTGCATGAAGTCCCAGTCCGAGGGAGACTGACAGTCGTCTATTTTCTAACAATTGCTCCAACAGTTGATATATTTTCACCAAGCTGCTTGGCAATTGCCCCGTAGCCCTTTCCAGCCTTGTGGAGGTCCACAATTTTGTCTCTGGTGTCTTTTGACAGCTCTTTGGTCTTGTCCGTGTTAGTAGTTGGCGTCTGACTGACTGTGAGGTGGACAGGTGTCTTTAAAGAGCTCAGACAGGTGCTACTAAGTTAGATGAGTGGGGTAGAGGTGGACTTTTTAAAGGCACAGTAACAGGTCTTTGAGAGCCAGAATTCTTGCTGTTTCTTAGGTGTTCAAATACTTATGTTCAGCAGTGCAAGACAAATACATTCTTAAAAAATCATACAATGAGAAACAGAATTTAAAAAAAAAAAAATCAGGAAATCACAGAGTGGGAATGCACCTACAATGTGAATTTCAGACCCCTCCATAATTTCTAAGTGGGAGAACTTGCAAAATCACAGGGTGTTCAAATACTTCTGTTCCTCACTGTATAACAGAGCACAAAACAATCTACGCTGGCCAGGTAGCCAAGGAGTCTGCAAAACCACATTTGGCACACTGGTATTACTATATTATTGTCAGGGGGGTCTCCTGGTTCATTTAAAAACCCCTACCAACTTCAAAGTTAGTTCATCTTGCCATACTGCAACTGGCAATGGCTTTTTTCCACACCTCTCGCTTTAATACAAAAGGTGAATCCTGTGATAAACACTTGGAGCGCCTAAAACCTCATTCATTATTACAATAGCGATTTACGATTGGTAAGGACAAAGAATTACAGTGATGGATAAGTCAATGGCACTTACTAAGAATTCAACTTATGTACAGTATTTGCAGCGAAGTCACTTTACTATGAAAGTTGACCTATCAAAGTCAGATTAGTAGGGCACTACCAAGATTGGTAGGACAAATACCAGATTACCAATCACATTACCATTTCAAGTAAAAAAAAAAAAAAAAAAAAAAAAAAAAAAAAACAGCTGTAAATTTATTTATAGGTTATTTGGCTAAAAGTGTTATGAACCACTTAACCTCCGGAAGATTTTTACCCCAGGGGGCATTTTTTGCTATTCGGCACTATATTACTTTAACTGGTAATTGTGCAGTCATGCAACACTGTACCCAAACAAAATTTACATAATTTGTTTTCACATAACTAGAGCTTTCTTTTTGTGGTTTTTGGTCGCCACTGAGTTTTTAATTTTTCTATTCTATTTTGAAAAATAAATTTTTTTTTACTTTCAGTTATAAAACATACCCAATAAAAAAAAATGTAAAAAAAAAATCTAAATTTCTTTATACATTCAGGCCAAAAATGTATGCTGCTACATGTTTGGTAAAAACAAGAAAATCCCAATAAGTATATATTTGGTTTGCCTGAAAGTTATAGCATCTGCAAACTATTGCATATCTACTTGATTTTTTATTTATTTTGTACAAATAATGGTGGCGATGAATGACTTATAATGGGACTGTGATAGTGTGTCAGGCAATCTGACACTGACACTGGCTGGGGGGGTACACTAACTGACATCTATATGTGCCACTAATACCGTGATCAGTGCTAATACTATACACTGTCACTGTCACTGTGCTGACACTGGCTGTAAAGGGATTAACCTCTAGGAGCGATCAATGGGGCCAACTGCATGCCTAACCATGTATAATGTATGTAATAAAAGCTGCTTTTACTAAGCAATCTTGTTGTTTTTTCCCTGCTTTGCAGGGAATAAAAATAAAACAGCAAAGATCGCTTTGTCAGTGAAGAGAATTCTCTGTTTACCAAACACAGAGCTCTCTTCTGTGAATCACTGACCCGAACAGTGGATGCTGACAATCGATCACTGGCACAGATCTGCTGATCGGCTTGTGCTGTAACAAAACAAAGCACATCCGGGACAGCACGTGAGCCCTTCCCGGAAGCGCTGATCATGTACCAGATACGCGATCCAGCGCAAAGCAGCCATCCTGCAGCAGTATATATGTGGTTAAATCCACATCATTAAAAACTATAAATAAATGCTGTATTACATGCTGGTCATACTCACTCAGTCACTATGGGATTCGTTTTCTGTATTCTTAAAAAATCTGGATGATCCCGTTCTTGATCTCCCCCTTCTGTCCATGTCCCCACTGCAGCTGGGGATTGTGCAGAGTAGTCTTGGCAGCTAGTGCACATGCCCAGTTTTCAGTATATTTTCTAAGCTGAACATTTCCTCCCTATCACTTCTGTGCAGCCTATGCGACTACAGAGTCACTCATTTTGGCGTACACAGTGGTAAATGAGAGCCCACTCCCTCCCCTCTCCTCCTCCGTGCCCACTAACCAGCTAAATACAAAGGGGTGGGATATTTCATCTTGATTTTTGGAGGCTTCACCTCCCTGTTATTCCAAGACACAGGCTGGAGAGGCGTGACATAGCCTGTGACTGGCAGAAATCCAGCCACACCATAATTTCGAATGTATATTTGTATGACAATTTAAAACCGTTTTTTGAAACCGTCTCCTTGCAGACAGGCTGGGAAAGAACTGGATCATGTGACAGCTGTATATATCGATTAGGAGAAAAGGTACCGTATTTTCCGGCGTATAAGACGACTTTTCAACCCCTGAAAATCTTCTGAAAAGTCGGGGGTCGTCTTATACGCCGATGCGAGCCGGTGTCAGGGCGGCACTTTTTCGAGGGGCGGCGCGGCGCCGCCCCCCCTCCTCCTCCAAAGGACACAAAGTACAGGGGTAGGCAGAGGGGCTGCTGTACCTTACCTGGCTCCGGTCCCACGACGATCCGGTCCAGGAAGCGCGGCTGCTCCTTCTTTCAGTTCGGCCGCTCGATGGTCACGCGGCCGCTCGGCTCCGCCTCCTCACCGGTGATTGGGCGCCAGCACTGGAAAGGTACACAGGCGACCAATCACCGGCGAGGAGGCGGAGCCGAGCGGCCCCGCGAAAATCGAGCGGCCGAACTGGAAGAAGGAGCAGCCGCTCCTCTCCCCCACTGACACTAACGATGGGGCACTATTCCTCCTCCACACTGACACCAACGATGAGGCACTGTTCCTCCCCACGGACACCAACGATGACACTGTTCACGGACACCAACGATGAGGCACTGTTCCTCCCCCACGGACACCAACGATGAGGCACTGTTCCTCCCCCACTGACACCAACGATGAGGCACTGTTCCTCCCCCACTGACACCAACGATGAGGCACTGTTCCTCCCCCACTGACACCAACGATGAGGCACTATTCTCCCACTGATACCAATGATGGGGCACTATTCCTCCTCCCCACTGACACCAATGATGGGGCACTATTCTCCCCACTGATACCAATGGTGGGCACTATTCTCCCCACTGACACCAATGATGGGGCACTATTCCTCCCCCCACTGACACCAATGATGGGGCACCAACACCAATGATGGGGCACTATTCTCCCCACTGACACCAATGATGGGGCACTATTCCTCCACTGATACCAATGATGGGGCACTATTCTCCCCACTGACACCAATGATGGGGCACTATTCTCCTCCCACTGACACCAATGATGGGGCACTATTCTCCCCACTGATACCAATGATGGGGCACTATTCCTCCCACTGATACCAATGATGGGGCACTATTCCTCCCACTGACACCAATGATGGGGCACTATTCCTCCCCACTGACACCAATAATGGGGCACTATTCCTCCCACTGATACCAATGATGGGTGCTATTCCTCCCACTGACACCAATGATGGGGCGCAATTCCTCCACTGACACCAATGATGGGGTGCTATTCCTCCCACTGACACCAATGATGGGGTGCTATTCCTCCAACTGACACCAATGATGGGACACTATTCCTCCCACTGACACCAATGATGGGACACTATTCCCTCTCCACTGACACCAATGATGGGGCACGATTCTCCCACTGACACCAATGATGGGGCACTATTCCTCCCACTGACTAATGATGGGGCACTATTCCTCCCACTGACACCAATGATGGGCACTATTCCTCCCACTGACTAATGATGGGGCACTATTCCTCCACTGACACAATGATGGGGCACTATTCCTCCCACTGACACTAATGATGGGGCACTATTTCCTCCACTGACCAATGATGGGGCACTATTCCTCCCACTGACTAATGATGGGCACTATTCCTCCCACTGACTAATGATGGGGCACTATTCCTCCCACTGACTAATGATGGGGCACTATTCCTCACACACTGACACTAATAATGGGGCACCATCATTGGTGTCAGTGGGAGGAATAGTGTCCCATCATTGGTATCAGTGGGAGGAATAGTGCCCCATCATTGGTGTCAGTGGGAGGAGTAGTGCCCCATCATTGGTGTCAGTGGGAGGAATAGCACCCCATCATTGGAATACCATACTGAAATAGCATACCATATTGAAATCAAATCTGATGTTTTTTCATTTTTTTTTGGTGTGCGTTGGAAGAGGGGTAGTCTTATACGGCGAGTATAGCCCAAACCCTATATTTTAACAGGAAAAGTAGGGGGTCGTCTTATACGCCCAGTCGTCTTATACGCCGGAAAATACGGTACTTAGATGTCTTTTCTTTTTTTTTTCTAAATTAAAATAACTACAGTGCGATAATCCACATACAGAAAGAGAAGGGATAATGTAAATAAACAGTGTGTGTTTAGTATCACTTAAAAGCTAGAATCCGGTGGCTTGGGTGTTTCAAACCATTAGAAAATGCAGATTCAAGTGCTTTTAATGTGGAGGACCCTGGTAGCCTTGAGCAAGAAGCATAGCATATACACACACATACATACATATATACACAAGACACTTTGAAATTAAGTAGATCTAATATAGATGATTTCTGAAAGAAAACATACATTACATCTAATGGATACGGATTTGTATTCAGTAGTGTTCAGACGTCATGGAGAACACATGGCTTGTTAGAAGGGGGCTTACCCTGCTAACTACAGTTATACAATATGCCCACAGGCTCAATTTTCCTTTGCAAAACATTTTATGTCAAGATATTCCCCTAGCATCAAAGGAGCTATTAGCACACTAATATATCTTTGCCAGGGCCCAGCATGAGTATCCTCAAAAGACCAGTAAAAACTAATTTATTTTTCTAACTGGTTTCCGTAAATGACAAGTGTTCAGAAATTTGTGTCACCTCCTTTAAAAAATGGGCACATATCTTGTTCCCTGCAGCAAATCTGCTGAATAATGGAGTGTGCTTCTGTAGAGAAACAGCTTTGACTTGGGAGGAGCGTGAACACATTGCTGTAACATTTCTACAGAGATATTTGCCAATGTAGGTATCAATAATACTGGCATACTGGCATCAATAATAAAGTGACATTTTCTAAGGTCATTACAATTTTGAAATAATGATTTGGCAGTTTACAGCTCTAACCAGTATTTCAGACATTATGTAATGTATACTCATTACAGTGCATATCCACTGTATATTTTGACTGCACAGTGTGGTATTTTGCTATAAAAGTGATGGATGGACGTGGTTTTCAACTTAAGGGGAAAATGTCCGTTCTCAGAAAATATCAGTTATGGAAAGTTTACCAAAGTATATGTTTATTTTTCCATTTTGCATGCTTGTACGGTCAGATTTTCATGACCATACTGTATACTGCATGTGACTTTGCTAGTGCTTTTTTCTGGCAACAATCTGTAAACCAGACAGTGCAATTAACACTCTTACTAAAATTCTGCTGTAATTAAGTCAGTTACAGTAGCAGCTACCTAGATAATTGATTGTTTTCTGGTCTATAGCCTGAGCTGACAAGATTTTGCTCTGTGTGCATCAACTTCCTTTCCTTTATTTTCACCTGGTGATCCTGACATTCGTCTGTTTTCAACAGAACACGTTTTCTAGCAGATGTAGCCAATAGAGTGTTGCGACAAACCATTTACCACTGATAAGGGTGCTTACAACCATCAGTTTGTATGTAAATTTTTTACCCCAAGAGAAAAAAAGAAAACAAAAAACAAAGACTGTTGCTGTAACTGCTGGAGTTTGGCTTCAATTTGTTAGGTATCTAATTCAGTGCAATGAACACCATCATTCCCCCATATTAATTATGTTGCTGTCCATAGGTGTCTCTGTGCTCCTCCAGCCAGAGTGTAGGCACTCCAATACAGTAAGTGTGTTACTGGCCTAATCACCAGGTGAAAACAAAGGGGAAAAAAAAAGAAAACAATGCAGCCTCAGCATTTAAGGATTGGTGTGCTGTAATATATTACAATTTGGTTTTAAGTTTAATTCTGCTTTAACTGCATCTGAGCATCACAAATAGAAAACGCTATTTAATTATTTTCAGTATTCAAAACTAACTCACCCCCCCCCCCCCCCCCCACCCCCCCCCCCCCCCCCCCATCCATGTCTCCATGTTTATTTTGTTGATAAATCATTTTGAAAAACACGCACCTGGCGTTTCTAGTCACAGCCATCTTGAGAACGGGCAGATGATTCATGTAGCATTTAATTCTTGAAATCCATCTGCCCTGAGCTCAGGCATTCAGAGAGGAAGGTGTGAGTAGTTGACAAAGCCCCTCCTCCAATTCTACGGATGAAAACTACATGCCCCGTGAAGACTAATGGAATGTATGACATCATTTTGGCATAGGCCAAAAACTAGGAAGCAACTGAAGAAATGTAAAACAAAAAAAAATAGAAGTAAACAGTCTACCTTCCTATCTATCTATCTAGTAATGACAGCAGCTAAGGATTAAACATAGTTAATTGATTGAGTATAGTTCCACTTTAATGACCAACTGACAAGCAGGGATGGTGACAACTGGATCCCTGGCGTGTTGTGAAAATAAATATGTTACCTCTGGATGTGGGTGCCTGCATTTAACTGCTTAGTTTAGTCATTTTGAGTTGACTAGCAATGCTGGAAGTGAAAGCAGCTTCCACTTGAGGCTTCCCAAACTGGTATTTTACTTTGCAAGAGATCTTCTAACATGTTATTTGTCTGTTAACTGCTGGAAAATGACTGGATCAGGACCTACCTACATCCATTGCTGTCTCCATGAAGCTTTTCTGCCTTGAAGCAAATTCAGCCAGTAGCTTCTGTTGTCTCTCTCTGGCCTTCTGGCGCCTGTTGCAAAGAATATAAAATAGTTTTACTGTACTGATTTTATGTGAATTTTTACAACAAAATTAGCAAGAAAGAGACCTGGATTAAAGGATAAAAAGGAGTGGCAGATTAGCCATAGCAATAAAGAATTTTAATTTTGCAAAGAAATTCGAAGTATAAGACCCATGCATGCAGTAACCATATATTCAGAAAATGTACTTTCCCTCTGATCCACTGCCCCCAATATACTCTCTATTAAACAACCGCCCACCTTCCCCACTCCACAATTAAGAAAGTATTAGGGATTGTTCTCACTTGAACACATAGAGCAAAGCATGTTGAGATGTGTTTTAACATATTTTTAGCATTTTTTGTTTTTTGTACTTAAAATGGTAGGGCAATGCTTAAAAAATACTGCATGAAAAACTGACTACTTTCCGTAATTCAGTACAGTGATGGAAACGTGGGCATGTAAAGAACAAGACCCTTCTAATTGCTGTAAAAAAAGGCCTTGATAATGGGAAATGGACAAGGGCTCTCAAACAGAGCTCAGAAATAATCAATTCAAGGCTATGTACAGTATACCTGAGTGATAAACGTGGATAAGTGTACATATCTATGTGCTCCCATAACCTGCCGTTCAGGAGAAGGAAGGTAAGCAAATGCAGGTCCTTAAGTAAAGTGAACCTGTTACTTTTGCTCAGTATGAGCAGATGAGAACCCAGAGTATATAATGTCAAGGTGGATCATCATACATGAGGCTGAATGTGATTGTATTAAGTGTAGGAGAGGAAATATAGTACAGTGTTAAATATATTTATAATGGTATCCATTGGTTGCAGACCATTAAATCTCTACTGCTTACAAAAGAAGCCTGACAGAGTAAAGGCCTCCTGCTGATGTTAGGGGAGATGGTCTGCTGTAGTTTAAAGAGAACAATTAAAGGCTTTATATTAAATACATTGGGGTTAATTTACTAAAGCTGGAGAATGCAAAAATCAGGCTCACTTCTGCATACAAACCAATCAGCTTCCAGGTTTTATTGCCAAAACTTAATTGAATAAGCTGAGGTTAGAAGCCGATTGGTTTCTATCCAGAAGTGAGCCTGATTTTGCACTCTCCAGCTTTAGTAAATAAACTCCAAAGCGTCTCCCCAAAGATTTAAAGTAACATTTCATTCTTAGTGGTTTGATACAACAATTAGGGAAAAAATTGCAATCGCAAAAATAAGACCAATACGGCATAATTTCATTCCATAGCTTTACATAAAATTGTGTGTTCTTGATATCTCTAGTGAAAATTACAATTACTCAGATTGGTAAGTATATAAATAAATTTAATTTATGCTGCAAAGACTAGCTGAAAATAAACACAAACACATTTTTGAATAATACATATACCATTACAATCAAAATATAAATTGAAAACATAATGGACAAAGGAAGTGTCTAAGGCAATGTTAATTAGTGCTGTTTTACAAGAAATAAAATCCAATCCACTGGATGTTTTTAAGGACCCAAGCTATGGAATGTCCAACTGTTCCATGTTATTATGACCTGCCTAAGTTGCTAATTTTCAGGCAAACATTGTTGAAATACATACCAGTATGTGTGAACGTTCTTAGCACTCAAATTCTTTTCATCAGTCCTGTGACCCAGCAGACACAGCCAGATAACACAGTTGAGGAAAGTGTAAAAATAACACTGGACCCATAAAGGTTATTTTATTGGTATTGCTATTGTAAAGTATTGA